TACAATGCCATTTGAGAGAATTGTCTGGGGGGGGGACACCCAGAACACATTGAGAAAATGTAAATCTTAATTGTAGTATTCTGCAGTTGCATACTGCCCCTCCATTCTCCTCTTTTACATGATGAATAAAAGAGTGGTTTCTTCCAGAGATTACCAATCAATCATTTCCAGTCAAGTTTCCTTTTGATGTCAGTACAATATTGCTTGCGCCCCTTTTTAATTGCTTTCTTGTTCACATGCAGAGTAGCTTTTAAAACTTTATCAGTGTCAGTTGCCACATGGTTCCTTGATGGATATGAACCATAACGTTAACATTCATCTAGCTCCCTTCTTCCTCCTTCAATTTCTGCTTTAAAAGTTTGTTTGCTTGTTCAAAACAGCATTTTCCCAACTTTTGGCAGCAGCTTTGCGTTTCTATACATTTAAAGGACATTTGATCCTTCGTTCACTGATCAAACCTGCACCCCTTATGTGTACTCCTGGTGTAACTTGTGGTCTTGTGTTTAATCTGTCCCAGGGAAATTCCACTAATGATATGAACCTATAACATCTGGGCAGCTGTAGACCAAGTAGGCTAAAGGCTGATTTTCCATCTTGCTTTAGCTTTCCTTGTGAAAATCTGGCCCTCCTCGCAATATTCGAAGTGGTACCGGTCCAGGAGAAGAATTTCTATTACACTTAGAAATACACTACTCGAAAGCAACTTGAGAGACGTGTGTGTGTGTGTGTGTGTGTGTGTGTGTATGTGTGTGTGTGTGTGTGTGTGGTTCGTGTGTGTGTGTGTGTCGTTCACACGCTCTTTTCACAGCGCGGCGGGGTTTCGAAGAACGTCAGGCAGAAGTTTAAGACCGGGATCCGTTCCGGTCGCTGGGACTCACCCAGGTTTAAAGCCATTTCACATCCAAGGAACTGGATCCCAAACCGAACTGGATCCCAAAGGGGTCGACTGTGGCCGAGGCGGGAGTCCCTCCGAGCGCTGCTTCAAACTTCAGCCTTGCCCAGGGCAAGCCAGGCGCCCCGAATAACCCAGCAAACCTCTCCCTGCGCCTGGATGAGAGCGGACCGGCGGTTCCCGGAGCCTCGTCCCGGGGTTTCGCCGAGATCCGTGGGGCCTTCACGGCCAGCATCGCTCCGAGCCCTCGGCTCTGCGAAGGGCGAGCCGGCTGCGTCCGGGTCTGGGTCTCCAGCGTGGTTTCAAGGAGCCCCTGTCCCACTTGGTCGCCTGGAGAGGCGGCCGCGTGAGGCAACCTCGGCTCTTTTATGACTCATGGACTTCAACTCCCAGAATTCAACTCCCAGAATGCTGACTCAGGAATTCTGGGAGTTGAAGTCCATGAGTCATAAAAGAGCCGAGGTTGCCTACCCCTGAGCAAGATGGTCGGCGGTAAAAAAAAAAAAAAAAAGGCCAGGGGGCCTCCCCAGCCGGGCTACCGAAGCTCCGTCCCTTTTAAAAAAGCGGGAAGGGATTCGATGCACCCTCTTGGCCGCCATCTTGACTTTTTTTGATCCTCCTCCCCCAGCGGACATCCCGGGCAGGAAGGCCTTGCCGCTTTTTTGTTCGGTTTGGATCTGAAAAGCAGAGGGAGTCGTCCGGGAGACCGGCTCCTCTTGCCCGGCCTGGTCTGGACGGATGGAAGCCGCTGGGCGAGGCGTTTATAGTACACAAACGCCTGTTTTCCCTCGGGATAATCATTATTGAAAGTCAATCCGGGCCAGGGATCGCTGTCTTTTTTTTTTTTTTTACTGTGTTTGTTTTGTATTTATGGAACAACCCTCATTGTCGTCTATCGTCCGCTACGTCTGTCTTGCCGCTTCGTTTTGGGTTACACACAGATTTGCCCTCCGCCCCTCTGCCTCTCCTTCAATCATTTACAAAACGAGCGATGGAGGGAGGCGGGGGCTGGAGGAAGAGGCGGAAAGGATCGGGAAGGAGAGAGAGGGAGAGAAAGGGAGAGAGAGAGGGAGAGGGAGAGGGAGGGAGGGAGAGGGAGAGAGGGAGGAAGGGAGAGAGCGAGAGAGAGCGAGAGCGCCTGACCTTTTGCATCTTTCTCTACAGGTGCTTTAGCAACAGATAAGATAACCTTTATTGTCATTTTTTGTCTTTTTTTTTAACTGTGGGCACAACAGCATACATCCAAAATGAAATTTAGTTGCCCGCTCGCAGAGTGAAACACATACATGACACACACCTAAACATACTATATACAACGTATGTATAGACCCACACCCCGACATATACGTAACAAATAAAGATTAAATACTGTCCATCTTGAATATAGAACGGAAGGAGGAAGCTTGAGAGTTCACAAGCTTAATGCTGTATGGAATGAAACTATGGCTGAATCTGGATGTTCTGCAGAAGGGCAGACGCCAAGCAATGGGGGTGGGGGCGGGGTTGGCACCGATTTTAGTGGGTTGGTGCAACCTGAATCTGCGGAAGACACCGCCGGGACGCCCATTCTTGGATGGAAGCCCCGCTCAAATCGAAGATGCTGACCGTCGAAGCTCTTGATACCTAACGGAGGGTAAGGCTCCCTCCCTCTGGATTCCAGAGGCTGGAAGAATTTAACGGGAGAATTATGAGTTACAACAAGGAGGAGATAGTGATGGGGTTTTTCTCTGTGTCCAGGATTAGGCGCGCCCGGTCCAGCGAAAGTGATGCAAGGGCGAAAAGCTGGAGGCGACGATCTTTTTTCGAAGGAGAGGAGCGTTGTGACGTCATCGGCTTGCCTGCGCTGACGTCAGCGAAGGGTTACTGCGCGCTCTGGGTCTGTGGTTGGTGGAGACACCTGCCTCGATCCACAGCGGTCTTAGTTCCGCCTCTCTGTAGGAATTCCTCCAGGACCCTCCATACATAGTTGCTGTAACCATCCTGTGAACTTTCCCTTGCCAGCTTTTTTTCTAGGTAATTCTGGTTCGGTTCCTTTCAGCCTTCTCCGATCCTAGGCCCTCCACATGTTTTAATCCACAGTCCCAGTCATTGAGAATTGCAATCCAACATCTTGGAAGGTCCCAAATTGGGGGAAATTGATAAAGGAGGCAAGGAACCTCAGCACTATCAACTTTTTAATTAAACCGACCAGCGACCCGAAAGGAACGTTTGTGTGGTCCTTGCCCAGTTTTTTTTTTTTAAACGGGTTTTCACTAGCCCGAGTCTTGCAGTCGCCTAGGGCAGATTGTAGCTAAAACTATACACGCGTGGTTTATACCGGGAAAAACGAACCTCGCCTCCTGTTGACACTGTTAACAGAAAAAGGTATATTAAAAGATCTCAACGCACAAGCCTATCCAGCGGGTCAACTGCGCAGTTAACATACCGATCGGAAAATGTTTGTTCCATAAACTAGAAAGATTATATCGAGTAGCTGAGTTTAGGCGACGTTTTCCTGGCGTTTGTTTGCATGTATATATGACCCTAGAAAAATAGACATAAATGCATAAAGGAATATAAACAAATCATGTGTTGTGGGAATAAAACTGTCTGGAAAAAAAGACCATAATTTTGCTGATAGAAAACATAATTTTATTTTGTCGTAAGACTATTTTATGTATAATTTGTTCATACAACTCTTGGCAAGGTGGATTTCATCTAAATGACTCGATACCTCACCAAGCAGCCAGAATGAGGCGGTTTTCTTCCGAAGTCTCCTCTCTTCTATGAAGGCGAACTGATGGGCGGAAATTTAACACACTTGAAATCGGTCACTTGTTTGCTAAACGAAATATTAATTAAAAATCCTTAAAGTAACAAGAAAAGTGAAAAGGGACACAACAGGCCATTTTCTTTCATAAATTCTTACAGTCGTCACAGTAAATCTTGTGTGGCATTCAAAACGAGTGGATTCCCCTGGGGATTAAGTTTTGTTTAACATAGTCGTTTTTTCCGTGCCACTTGTATGAGCGAGTTTTAGCGGAAACACAATTTCTGTTATTTGCCCTTAAATTTCACCTAACTTGAAGGGTATTTCAGTTGCGGCTAATAATTTAAGGACGGTGGAAAGTAAGGATAATTTAATAAAGAATTAGGTTTAGTGAGATTTAAGTATATCTGAGAGCCTCTTTTTTTACCAAAGGAAAACAAATGGATTTGTTGCAATAAGATATTGAACGTAATCTTATTATTTCTGAATTTTATAATTGCAGAATAATCGGAAATGTTAAAGAATCCTCTTTAAGTCCTTCGGCGATATCAGAACCGATTTTCGGGGAATTTAGACCCGCTCTGGAGGATTTATGGTTAGGGAAGATGCATTTTTTTTGGGGGGGGGACTACCAAGGACCTGCACGCTTGCCTCCGCAACTGTATTTATACTCGCAGCTCTGCTTTCGTAGCTGTTGGCGACTTTCTTTTTCAGTCTTGGGTTACCAACAGAGACTTTTACGCATAATTCATTTTGCTGCTGAGGCTGGTAAATAAAAGGTGATCTCGCCAAGCGGAGGGGGAAAAAAAAGACCAAACAGCTGCCGAGAAGCTGGCAAGATCCTCCGAAGGGGCGGAGTGTCGAAGAGGCGGGGCAACTGGAATTCCCTCGCAGCCAATCAGCGCGCCTTGGGCCCGACCACTCACCAATTGTTGGGTCGAAAGGGCGGGTGTCCGCGTCCTGGGACCGATAATATAGGGAGGGACGTTCAGAGTCTAGAAACAGGCAGGCGGTGTGGCTGCTGTCGCAGGCGAGCTTTGCTTCGTTTACGCGCCTGCGGGGGTTAGAGCGCTTCGGTGGGTCCCCTCGAGAGGAATCGCCCCGATCCAGGGCTCAGGGGACGTGGCGGGAGACGTGGCGAGGCTTTGGGCGGGCTGAAGCGACTTCGCCTGTAGCCGTGTCTCGGCGCGCTCCGCCTTCGCCGGGACCGAATGCCATTATTGCGCGCCTCTGCAGCCCCCTCGGACGCTTGGTTGTGGTAAGTCTCCAGAGGTCGGGTAGGGCTGGGAGAGCCCGTGGGGGGGGGGGAGGTTGCGCGAAGCAGGGATGGAAAAGCAGGGCCCCCTTTCCCCCCCTCACTTGGGCTGTCTTGGGTGGCCACTTTGCAGGCGGGGGAGTCGTGGTGGTGGCCCTTAGCGGTCTCTTCTTCTGGGTCGCGCGTCTTAAGGTATCGCGAAGGCGGCGGAAGAAAGCCAGAGTCCGCTGAAAGAACGCCGATGAATTCCACTCGCTTTGGGACACCTTTGCATTTAGGGCCAGCATTAAAACGCCAAAGGAAAAGGTTGCCCAGAGTCGAACTTTTAACTTTACTTTTAGCATTGGGGCAGTACTTAATGCAGGGCGCTTACTCTCAGCTAAATGTAGCGGTTTTGCAAATGTGAAAGATCCTTACCGGCAGATTAGGCTGGGCAAGGATAAGCCATGCATTCAGCCAGCTTGACCGGTTGGATTATAACTCCTGTCAAGCCTGGTCCCAAACGGCAAGGCACAAAAGATGTTTTCTAGTTGCATGTGTCTATTTTCCATGCAAACAAGTTGTCTGTCAACATCCACAGAACTTCCCTAACACCCCCTGGTGCTGTATTCAGTGACCCAAGCAATCTCTTTTGAAGAGAGAAGCAGGGGGTGTGTATGTGTCAGTCGATCTTCAGGTTGGAAACATGGCACAAAAAAAACCTTTCAGTGGTTGAAAGAAAACAATGAAGGTCAGGCTCCTGACATAAACCTCTGGTTAAAGTAGTTTTGCTCTGAGGAAAGTATTGGGTATAGTTTACACTTATATGTAACCTAAGAAAGATGAATTATGTCTTTGGCTAAATCCATTCTCCTTTGTAATTCATGTTTCTATACTGATATACACTGGAATACATGAAGTTAGATGCCAAAGTTATTCACCAACCAACAAATCATAGATACGTTAGTTAGACTCAAATTTCCCAAAGCCATAATATAGCCTGTTTGCACCACTTTGTGTGTGGTGAGAACCAGTCATCAAACCAGAGTTATTGCGATATTTACTCATGTTCCTAATCAAATTTATTTTCATTTACTTCATTTGTACTTGTATGCAGGGAAACCTTCAACCATAAACAGCCATAAGGTTATACTTACAGAAAATTATATCTCTAGATAACCAAGATACATCTAGGATTGGAGCTATAAACAGACAATTTAGTATTTGCTATTTTTCTGAAGTGCATTTTTAGGGAAACGGAGACCTTCCTCTTGGTGTAGGGACTAAGAAAATTATATCCAAAGATGATTTTTTAATATGAGAGATATAATGGAAACAAGGAGGATATGTAATAGATGACCCTAGCATGTCAGAATGGTCTCTTTAAGTCGGAATAAAACAATGTTAAGTCTAGGTTCTAAATTTCTAGATGCAGATCATACACACACACACAAACACACATGCACACACACACAGCTTGCATGTTGGGTTTAGGACATTTCTTAATCTCTGGCAATTTATAGTATCATCCAATAAATATGCTAAAAAAACTGCAGTGAAGACCAGTTTTATATTGCTTTCATGTTGATATAGATTTCTCTCAATTGTTAAAAAGTGTTCTTCGATAGAGTAAGGAAACACCAATTCACATATCCTATTAAAGCGTTTTTTATTTGTTTGCTTTTACTTTCTGTTGAATGCCTTGCATGAAATTGGCCATTGTGTTTAATTCAATAATCCATGATTAAGTTATTTTATATGGCCTAGATTCCTGCATAACATTAAACCACAATAGATGCCTTCACATGTCAAGGAAAGCAAATACACACTGCAGAGGTGTATGGTGTGTGAATTAAGACCAATGCTGACCTTTTTCACAAGAGGGAGACAGTAAGGCTCTAAACTCTCCTGAATTCACAGAGAGACATGAATCTGACTGCAATCTTTTCTGGTTAATGGAGAGGGACTTTCTACTTTCCACTAAAGGCTGCTCTGATCTTATCTTAAAATTGTGCATCCTTTTCCTTCCATCTATTTGATAGCAGAGTAGAACATACCCTGGTGACCCACATTTTATGAAGCTTATTACCTCAGAGATGGAGAAAAAAATGCAATGAGGATGGTGGGTGGGTGCTGTGTATGGCATCTAAGCTATAATGAGGTTTCTAACTAGCTTTGTGGCCCCAGCGAGTTATGGTTGATTCACTAAACCCTATTTAATAAACATAATTCATTAATAAAACGAATTAGATGGCGGTAAAAATAAATAGGAACACCTTTTTTAAAAATGCCAGGTAAACCCAACTGTGACTCCCCCCCCACCTGCGTTTATCTGGCCTTACTCCTTGAAGGCGCACGAAACCTTCTTGGGCAATAAGGGTGGAGGTGAGCAGGACAGAAGCGTTGCGTTGGCGGGGAAGCCTTTCTAAAGACCTGCCAGCTTTACCCAATCCCGCTATATCTTCTGAACGTTATCTGTCTACAATTCCCATCGCTGCCCTAATTTGGGATGGTAGGTGTTGCAAATCCGAGGCACCACCCGCCTTTCTATCTGGGGCGAGAGCGAGTTGAGAAGGCGCGTCACATTTTTATTTGAAGCCTCCGAGGCATTCGGGCCTTGAGCGCTGCTGGGGCGCGGGGGGGGGGGACGACGGCCGGCGGCTGCGCGAAAAAAAATCGAAAACGCACCTTCGAGGTGTGGGGACAATTTGTGTACGCAGGGCAGGGAAGCCACGGAAGAACCTCCCGTCTCCCCCCTTCACGCCTTTCTCCCCCTCTCCCCGAAAGAGACCCTCCGGGTTAAGTCCCCGAGAACTGCCGTGGATTACCCCCAACTCTCCGCGGATACTTATTCAGCAGCGGCCCTTGCCGATTTCCACCCTCGACGGGTCTCGGAAAAGCAGCCTCGGCAATCTCTCGGTCGCCGAGGGTCTGGCGGGGGGAGAGGGGAAGGCAGGCAGCTGGAGATGGGCGGGAGGGGGGCAGCCAGGCCAGATCTCGGCTCTAATCCGAGGGCGCCGCGGCCCCTCTCTTCTCTCCCTCCACCCTTTCTCTCTCTCTCGTGCAGGAAGAAGCGAGCTGGAGGAGAAGGCGGGAGCCGCGCGGCGTGAGCCATGGCTGAGGGGCAGCAGGTGGGCCCCGTCGCCGCCGACGCCTGGGAGATCGACGTGGAGAGCCTGGAAGAGCCGGATCAGCTCGAGCGGCCGTCGCCGGCTGCGCCCCGCGCGCCCTCGCTACAGTCCGCCGGAGACGACGAGGAGGAAGACGACAACCAGGACGACGACGACGAGGAGGGCGAAGAAGACGAAGGCGACGCCGGGGCAGCGGGCGACCTTCTCCGGCTGCCTGGGCTGCCGCAGCCGCAGCTTGTCTCGCCGTCGCCGGCGGCGGAGGAGAGAGGCGTAGGCGGCGGGGAGCAGCCGGTCCGCAAGCTTAGCCGCACACCCAAGTGCGCGCGCTGCCGCAACCACGGCGTGGTGTCCTGCCTGAAAGGCCACAAGCGCTTCTGCCGCTGGCGGGACTGCCAGTGTGCCAACTGCCTGCTGGTGGTGGAGCGGCAGCGCGTCATGGCCGCCCAGGTGGCGCTTCGCAGGCAGCAGGCCACCGAGGTAAGTGCCCGCCTGGCCCGGCCTCCCGTCCCTGGGGGAGAGGCTCTTCTTGGGGGCCCCGGGCGGATTCCGCCCTCCGCCGTCCGGGTGAGGCTCCCCCGTCGTCCCCATCCTCTCCTGCTCTTGTTTTCCCTCCGCACAAAGGACCCGGCCCGGGAGGCGGAGCTTTTCCTTAAAGGGGAGCGCGCATGCTACGCTGGCCCTAAGGGCAGCAGCCTTTAAGGCTCGGAGGTTTTGCGCGTCGCTTGGTCCCGGGGATCCTCGGCCGCCCGGAGACGTTGGCCGGCCTTGAGGCCGGTGGAGCTGATCTTCCGAGGAAAAGGCGTCGGTGGGCCCTGTGGGGGCGGCGACCGCGGAGCAGGAGTCCCCCAATGACCCCCCTGGGGCGCCCCCCCCCGGAGGGTGCGGGGAGCTGCAGTCGGGACGGGGAATCCTCTGGGACCAGAGCGCTTTCAGTAACCGCTTTATGGAACTGGGACGCCTTTTTGCTTCCCAAAGGAAAAAATAATAATAGCTATTTATTTGGATGGACCCTTATCCTTTGCAGGCCTTGACAGACTGCTACAAGGTGCCGATGCTGTTAGCTGGCCTCCTCTTAACACTGATTTAGCTTCGACCCAAGTGCTTTAACTTGGATTTTTGTGGAAGTGTGGGTGGAAAAATGGAATTTGTTCTTAGCTTTAGTTGCAACCTCTCTTCCGATTTACCTGTTTTCAGAGCTTCCTGAAAGCATTTAATATAAGGTCTTCAATTCGCTATGGGAACAAATTGAATCCAGACTGTAACAAATATATCCCAATTGACGTTTCCCCAGTCTTTTCTTTCTATTATTTCCTCAGGATTAAGACTCCTAGGATATCAGAAGCTAAGTTTTAAAAAAGAAAACACATATAGATTTCAAGCGGATATAAAGTCAATTTTAATTTTAATCAAGAGTTTTTGTTAAAAGAATTCTTTTAAACAAGTAGTAGCAAATAAGTTAGAAAATGCATTTTTCTTTTTCAACAGCATGGTATGGCATGTATTTTGACAATTTCTTCTGTGATCATTCCTAATTAAAATGCATTTTGCATATTCTAGCTAAAGCTAAAGATATTTAATATATTTGATTTAATTGAAAGAATTAAGCATTTGCTTCCTGTTGGTATTGGCTACTGCCTACATTGGATAAAACTATACAACACATTTTGAGCCAATTGTTTAGAAGTAAAATTCCTAATGTATTTAGAGTCATAGGAAGATATCTGATGTAGAAGGAATTCCATTAAAATTAGAAGATGTTTAACCTAGTTAATTAACCCATTTTCTGAGTTTGCATAATACATTGAACTGTAGTCAAATGGACAAATACAAGGCACTAACTTATGAAGAGGTATAAATTAGTTTAAAAATGTTGTGAAAACCCAGTCTCTTTCTAATCTCTTAATACAGGGAATATGAAGAGTACTGCCTTTTTTTCCCCAAACTGCAATCTCAGAAATTGGTGCTGCTGGGAATAATTAGAATATACATAATTTATGATTTTTTCTCATTTCTTCCCCTCCCCCCCATTTCTCTAATAGGATAAGAAGGGACATACAGGGAAACAGGCTAATTTTGAGCGCAGAACAATGTACCAGAGACATGTTCGGACACCTAGTTTGCTGGCTAAAAGCATTTTAGAAGGTAACAATTTTTAGCACTTTGAAGTTGCCTGTCTTTATATATCTTAGGAATTATTTTTGTTTTGTTTGTTAATATATGAACATTTTACCCCTTTCAGTTTGTAATAAAAAACCTAAGAAAATTAGTCAAACAATTGTAAACATTCATGGACCCTGATCCACCACAAATCTCAGTGGCCTTTGAACAAAAACTTCTTAATTAGACTGTGATTTGTACACTTTAATTCTGTCAGAAAAAAAATAGAAGAGGCTTTCATAGAAACAAATTGATGACAGTGTTATAGCCAGTAACTGAATTACTGGCAACTATGATAAGGGCTAGCTTAGATTATGCAAAGAAGAAATACAAAGTCTACAAACTTGTTATTTGAAGATTTTAAAAAATAGCTAATATCATATGGAAATACCTTTCCATCTCTTAAAAGGAATAGTCAGATTAAATTAGGAAAATAAAGTATAGAGTCGTTGCAGTGAACAACTTCTCCTTAATTCCAAACAGATTTCGATAAAATAATTTCCTGCAAATTGAACTTTCTCTTCATTTTGCCTCAACTTGTATTCAAATAATTGTTGATGAAAAATGTGATATTTTGAGGAGTTAAATTAATATTTCTGTGACAAAAGCATATGTAAGCTTGTGTCTTAGGAAAATTATAGATTAAAATAGTTAATTTTTAATTGAATAGTATTACCTTTTTGAAAGCATTAATAGTGGAGTTCTTTTACTTCCTAAGTACAATAATCCTATTAGTTATTATCGTTAGCATTTGATATTATTTTAATAAATCTAAAGTCTCTGATTCAAGTCCTGTAGTGTTGACAATTAGTAATTTAGTAATTACTAATAGAAAATCCATTTCTATTCAAGTTAGTGACATCTTGCACTGTAGCTTTATACCATATAAAAATGTTTTATTTGGGTGAAAATCCCATTAAATTATTCATGTTTTTGAGCAATTATTCTTAATGGGCCTGTGGAAATCTGTGTATAACATGAAATTTTCCCCTGCAATGATCCTAAGTAATCTTATTTGGGATTATGTCTTACTGAACTCAATAAGGCATATACTATATCTGAGAAGTAATGTCCATTATAGAACTGTTCTGTTGTAGTAAACTGAACCTTACAAATTCCTTTATTAACATTTCCCATGAGTTGACTTTGATTCCTGGTGAGTTCATTTATCTGTCCTTATTTTTCTCAACAATAATATGGAACTTGTTTGCCCTTGCCTTCTTCCAAAATAGATATCTGATCTAGTCAAAATCTTTGAGATTTTATAGATTTGCTGTTGTGAAAATTTTTCATTCTTTGTAAGATGACAAGCAGTACTTATTTCTAAGCAAATAAATACTTGAGTTGCACATCTCATGATTAGTGGATATTAATCAAGAGTTGTAGGGTATACTATAGAAATATTCCCAGTTTTTCTTCACACTTTCCCCCCATTATTGGTAACATAGTACCACATAGGTATGAAATGATTTTTTTAAAAAAATTCTTTGCTTTTTTCTAATCACCAGAAAATACTAAAATGCAAACAGATTTGAAGGACAATTCAATTTTTAGGTTTATGAGTTGACACTGAAGATATCTTAAAGAGAATGATCATTAGTGATGTTATGGAAGAGCATTAGTGCTGTATTGACCACAAGCATATTGACCTCAAGGAATAAAATTCAGAATATGTAAGGAATGAGCTTCTTAAAGTCTTCAGACTAGATGCTTTTTTGAGTTTTCAAGATATCTTTGAAATTCAAAATATTGTTTTTAACTCGGCACCATTTACTCAAAATGATTTGAAAAACTGATCCCAACCTCTATTTTTATACTGTATGCCGTAAGAATCCTATGTTTTTTTTTAATTTGTGGCTGTGGTTGATACATTTATTTGGAATATGTGAAATATAAGTCAGAGCTGTAAATATCATAATTTTGGGGAGTAAGATCCTTTGCTTTTACTTATGCTTTTTTTTCCAGCTAAAAGAAATAGGACTGTCATCTAACTATACAGAGTGATTTCTTTATATTTCTTCTTTTTATTTTGGTTCAGTTTTTACATTCTTGAGAGGATACTTTCCTTGTAGGAGTAGAAACATTCTTATGCTTCATGCTGCCTTTTCTGATTTGTCTTAACTTTCTTTCTCTTTTCTTCTAGTACTCCTTGGATTTTTTTCTTTACCTCTGTCTACCTTTAGAGAATAGGAATGCACCAGTTGTAGGTATAGAGATCTTTCAAAATTATATTATAAGTGTCATAATAAAGAAATGTTAATGTAGTAAAATGGGGTGTGAACACTGATTTATGAGGTAATTATTACTATGGTGTTCAGTGTGACTTTGGATATAGTGAAAGTAATTAGTAGTTGGAGGTAAAAAGCACTATGTTTCTTGCACTTTTTCTGCATCTTCTCAAAAGGACAACTTGTACATCTATAAATAGATACCTAAACGTTTGATGCAAAGATTGATCATAAATCTTGGCAGGTGATTACAGGTTTTGCTTTAGGTGTCAACTGGGAGGTAGGAGAAAGAGAGAAAATCAATCAGACTCTTGTTTCTCACATTTACACAATCTCTGAAGTTAACCTGTTGAGGATAAGAAAGCAGAGTGTATGCACCAAAGTGCTATAGTATAAAACATTATCTTCAAGGTCATCGGTGATCATGCAGGGAGAGGCCATGTTATTTACAGTACATTTGCACTCTTTATCATTTTGCACTTTTTACACTTTTTAATTGTTAAAACAATTATTTTCTCCCCTCCAAGGTTATCGTCCCATTCCAGCAGAACCTTATCTTGGAGGGAATTCGTCCTTGCCACCTCCCGTTAGTGACAGAATGAGAAAAAGACGGGCTTTTGCTGACAAAGAACTTGAGAACATAATGCTTGAGCGGGAATACAAGGAACGAGAAATGATGGAAGCCACCCAGGCTGCTGCCTTCTTCCTACCAAACCGCATGGTCCATGGGCCCGAGTATAATTCATACAAGAGTTTTAACCCTCATCAACTTGAAGCTTCCAGTAAGGAGTTTTGCGGTTTTCTGCCTACTTGCTTAGATCTGACTATGCAATATTCAGGCTCGGGGAACATGGAACTGATCTCATCAAATCTGAGTGTGGCCACCACCTATAGGCAGTATCCTTTACCCTCCAGATTCTTGGTGTGGCCGAAGTGTGGCCCTCTCAGTGATGCCCTTCTCTATCAGCAATGCCTTCTAAACGCTACCACAGTCCAGTCTCTCAAACCTGGAGTAGTTTGGGACAATAAGGCTTCACATGGCCAGGATTTTCCCACCTCTGAACACGAGATCACAGTGTCAAAAAATGAGAACACGTTCCACCATCCTCATGTTCAAGAACGCGAGACACCTCAAAGTGAACTCCAAAACATCTCTCGGGAGGCTCCTGAGAGATCAGCGTTTTCATCTCCCAAGAGGACCTTTCCACAGATCCCTGGCAAGGATCCTATAGTTCATTGGGACCCGTCTCTCAGCAAGATGGGCAAAGGAAGCAACAAGCAGCATCTGCTACTGCCACCTTCATCTAAACATAGTCCTTTCCATTCATTATTCCAGCAGACGCTTCAGAGCAAAGCGGGATCAGAGTTAAAAACCACTTTTGATGAGACATCCAAGAAATACAGAGAAAACCCAAAATACAAATTCAGCATTGACAGATATGCAAAAGACATTCTGGAGACTAAACAAGTTGTAACAAAATTATCCACAAATGAACCGTTACCTTTTTCTGTTGAATCAATTCTTAAATGACCATCTTCAGTGGTCACCAGTCTTTCTCAATAGGCCGACAATGGGATCTTCAAAACAAATATATTGGCACTTAGAATTGAATTTAACCGTATGGGCCAAGAAGCAAGTCCCTATGAATTTATTGGAGATTTCTTCTAGGCGCTTTATCCAAAATACACTTGAAATAAGTTCTTCAGATTTTATTGAAACTGATTTCCAATAAACAGGTTTTGAACTACAACACAGCACTAGTATGAGTCGATTTCAGAGCAGCTGAGTTGGCCTTTTTTTGGGAATTGACTATTCCAAAACTTTAACAATTATTGATATGCTGTCTGACAAGCGCATGGCCACTGCCTTTTGCCATCGTATTTTTGGAAAAAAGAATTTCAGATGTAAAGGGGGATAATAAATGTACATAATATGCATGTTTTTATATAAAAATAAAATATTTAAATGTTTTGCAAATTAAAATAGTGCATTCTGTGAGGATTAATTTTCTTTTTTTCTTTACATGGCATAAATTTATGCCTTCTGATTCACTCTGGAAAGCATCTAAGTTGTTGGTCATATTCAGATACAATGGTATGCCTATGTATATTAATAAGATTAAGCTTTAATAATATTATTTTATATTCCATAAAAATATATCTCTTTTGCATGAATTCTGCCTGTGAACAACTTCCTCAAATTGACACTAAATCATGTGAATTGTAACTATTGTACACAGTTCATTAGTATTTAGTATTCTTAATTACAAGTAATTCTTACAGAGTTAAACATTGCTTAAACATATAATTATATATTCCACATGAATTAGTGTTAATGGTAGAACAGAACAGTTTTCTTTGCTGTGTGTTTGGATTTGTGCTGTACAGAATACAGATTTTGATCTAAAAATGAAATATTGCTATTAGATAAACGACAATGGGAAAATCCAGTGTGAAGATCACACTGAAGAAACACTTTGATTGTAATAATCTGTACTAGCTACAAAATGGATTTTGCAGGATTTCAATTCACGTCCCAAGAACAGAGAGCCAATAAGATACAGCTGAAAAAGCTTGGCCAGCTTTTATAAATAATGTGTATGCTGTATCTTCAGGATGCACTGGAAAAGACATTTTAAAAATGGAGTTTAGCCATTTCATAACGTGGTTGTGCTCACAGTATCAAGGTGAACACTGAGCCCATAGAAAAATACTTCTGAGATTTTAAAAGCTATGAATGCATATAAGCATATGCAAAAATCTGTTTCAGTTTGTTGGATCTCTTCATTTCATCTCTGTTGCAATGACATGAATGCAGAATAATACTTTTGATTCATAATCAGCAAATCGATTCCAGGAAAGAAATGGACTTAGGGTCATTCAGATTAATAGTGCAAGGCCCCAGATGATTCAAGACTTGGCTATTTGACTTGCTGGATTGATTGCTCCAGATTGCATGCATATTTCTTCCTGAAATGTGGTTTCCCATGAGTTTCTAATATTTATATGCAAAATGCGGTGCATACAAATGATACTTTCCTGGAATACTCAGCAATGCCTATGATGAGGAGAAATGTTGGAATTTGTCTGATGTATATAGCATTTCACCAAAACCCTCCATTTAACACGTGCCAAGGAGACCTGCCACAAAATTGTATACCTCTTTCTGCAGGTTCCCTCTGTTTCAAAATCTCTTTAAGAATATAGGGAACTGCTTAATCTGATATATACAAAGTAATATTTTCTTCATCGCTGATGTGATTCTGGCTGGCATAAGCCACACTAGGTTGGTTAGCTAGACTAGAGCATGCATCCTGATCAGAAATGGTCCTCCTTTTGGTTTGGGCTATCAACTTTCACTAGGCCAAGGACTGCATTAAGTCTCAGTTACACTCTGGAGTGGTACGTTCAAAAATTATGGAGTGGGTCCATGGTGGAGGCTGTGGGATTCTGGATTGGGTGCATCAGGCTTTAGTTCAGATCCAAGCCAGCCTGAGTGGCTTTGAATTTTGGATCTCCTGGTTCTTGGGACTTTCCTTCTATCTTTTGTTCTGGATGAGGAAATACTGCCCCAAACTGTTCGGATCTGAAATCTGGAGGTCACCCCAGACTCATGGCTCCTGCTGGAGGAAGATGGCATCCATGCTTACGATGACTTTTGCACACTTTTTGGTTGTGCATCAGCTGTGCCTGTTGCTGGATTGGGGACTTGTGACTCCAGACTGGAGTATTGCAGTGTGTATTGCATGAGGCTGCCCTTGAAGAGCATTTGGAAGCTTCAGCTGGTGCAGAATACAGCAATACAAGCAGTTAACGGCATTGGTGTGTGTGTGGCATTGCTGCTGCCCTAAGCTGCATTGGCTTCCTGTGTGCATCTGGGTGCAATTCGTTACTTTTAAAGCCCTTCATGGCTTAGGACAGGGTTATTTACAGGATTGTCTCTCCCCAGTTGCGTCTACTCATTCTCTCTGGCCCTAGCAAGAGGGGCATAAGTAGGACCTATCAGCTAAGGCAGGCGTGTCCAACCTTGACAACTTTAAGAGTTGTCAACTTCAACTCCCAGCATGGTTGGCTGGGGAATTCTGGGAGTTGAAGTCCACAAGTCTTAATATTGCTAGGGTTGAACATCCCTGGGCTAAAGACTATAAGCTGATGGGATCCAGAAGGAAATCCTTTTCTGCCATATGTCCCAGGCTTTGGAACATCATTCCCTCCCAAGATCGGACTATCCCTGACTGCTGGCCTTTTACAGGACCTTGAAAACTTGGGTTTGTGCTTGTTCTGGGCCCTGGGTATATGAAGGAGCTTTGGTTTTGCTGATAGTTGTTTATATGATGCATGCATGCAATTTCTTTTGGTATTATATTTTTATGTCTTATCTATTTTATTGTAAGCTGCCTAGAGCAGACATGTCAAACACAAGGCCCGGGGGCCAGATGCGGCCCGCGAAGTGGTTTCATGTGGCCCGAGAAGCCATCCTGGAAACAGTGAGGGAACGGCCTCCCCCAGGCTGGCCGGGAGCCAATGTACAATTTTGTGGTGGCCAACTATGCTGAAACGCATTCAGTCTTAGCTCCACAAAGCCGTCTAGGTGCATGCTGGGGAGGTGTCACCCTTTGTGAGGAATGAAGAAATGGACCATGCCTTGGTGCTTGCCCCGGTCCCACCCCTTCTGCCAGAGACCCTCAGATCTGTCCCACTCCTGCCCAGGCCCCCACAGGCACCCTTGACGCGAACGATGTAGAGCTGGCCATGCCCACCCAGTAGGCCACACCTACTCCATCCACTCCCACCCAGTAGGCCGTACCCACCCTGGCCACACCCATATGGCACCCCGAGGGCAACTGCAATGCTGAAGTGGCCCTCAATGAAATTGAGTTTGATACCCCTGGCTTAGAGCCTCTCTCACGCACACACTTAGTTAACATTTCCCAATTGTGTATTTAATAATTTCTTCTTTCTCTTCCAATCAAAAGAAGAGTTTGGTCACAGGTCACTTAGAATATCTCTGTCTCTGGTTTTGATGTGTGAATATAGCAAAGGACATCGGGAAAGGGGGAACAGTCACAGAGAGCATGTTCCATAGTGCTGGACTGCCATTGTCACCTACTTTTAGTTTTGTTTGTACAGTCACACAAATTAGCTTGGAATGATCAGCTTTAATGATAAAAGTTGCTTGGTTCAGTATATGCAAAGCACAAAAATCACATTTGAAGGCATTTTGTATATGGTTAGAAGCACTCTTTCCTTTTTGGTCTTGCTCATACCCTACCAAGATATCACATGGAAAAGAGAAGCAGAAGCTGAAGCAGCAGGCTCTGCAACAGATGCCACATCATTCATTTGAAATAGTTTGGGTTAGCTTCTGGGTAGAGTTCAATGCAGCACTTTAATCTGGAAGTTAGCAGAGCATGGATGACAAATTCCTCCTATCCCAAAGAGGCACTTGGAGCTTCCCCGTCTGAATTTCATTTCTTCACCAGGAAGTTACAGCATCTTTTAAAGTTATCCAATTAATATTGTGCCAAAAGACAGCAATATGGACATGTTTTATAGCAATTCAATGGTGGCATTGTAATGGCATGAAGGCACTGAAAATTATTATAAGTCACTGGTGGAGACAAGACCTTGACTACAATTGCTATTCAGGAATAGATCCAAGGTATAAATTCCATTTTCAGAGATTGCAGCTCCACTCCAAGCCATCACTGCTATCAGCTTATTTCTACAATATTTTTTTTCTGCTTCTCAGCTTTTTTTTCTGTTCCATTTCCATTGAGTTTGATACTTCCTCATTTCTACTGCATTTCTCAATATCCTCAGCTAAAATACAATAACTGTTAATGGGAACAAAATAATGGTGGAACAAACATTTGATCATTGGATTTATAATTTGCCCAAATTGACCTAGGTTGTATTCTCCTTCACTTATTGTGAAGCATCAAAGCAGATAAGAGATTTAATAGAAGGAGATAAATATATTTTATTCTTATAGGAACAACCCTAAATTAGTGCAGAAAAGAAGGCATGGCCAACTTTGGTTGCCATCTTGACTTTTTTTGACCCCCCAGTGGACATCCTTGCTTCAAGTAAAGCTCATGCTGAGATACAATACCTGGTCTTCCACCCAGCAAATCAGCATTTGTAGCTGAAATAACCCTAGGCTTTTGAAATTGCCATTGTTGTTGCAACGGTGATGTTTTTCTCACATACTGAAAGGGGATAAAGCGAAACCCCAGGACAAGGCAATCACACTGCCTGCCAAGATGACTTTCTGCTGACTCAAGGATGGGTGGATAACCCTTTAAGACAAGACCAGGGAACGGCCCAGGGATAGAAAGCTATTTGATTGGGAGGGGAAAGCATTTCCTTTTGTTCCTCGCAGGCTATTGCTGAATCATTGTAATTGCTTTTTTAGAAAATAGAAATTATAACTGAGTCATTGATGGCTTGTTTTGAAATTATGATATAAACAGGCTTAGTGTCAATGCTACCAAAGGGGTAAGCTTCCTCCAGGAGAAAAATCTTCAGGATCGGTTCGCTAAATATATTGTCTTTCAGAGAAATGTGTGCTAAAATGTGTGGTGAGTGATAGGACCCCAGTGTTTCATTGGTATTTAGTGGATGTATTGTTTTTATGTGTATGTTTTAAATTTTTGACATGGATATTGTATAGCAGTGGTGGCAAACCTATGGCATGGGTGCCAGAGGCATCACTCGGAGCCCTCTCTGTGGGCACACGTGACATTGCCCCAGCCTTACCTTCCCTCGTGACTCCCTCCTCTCCAGCAGCCCTCCTGAAAGAGAGTCAACCTCGAGCACGGCCCACACGGCGCAACACAGCCAAGGACATGGCAGCCAGGCAGCATAGACAAGACTCTGCCCTCACACCCCATCATGCAGTTGATGCTGCAGGGCGCGGGCAGAGGGTGTGGCCACCATAGCACTGCTGGGCTGCCTGGGCGATCTGCCGTCCTG